ACATGAAATCTAATTTTCTGAAACTTACGTAAAATTACATGTATTGTAAATTGTAATTTATGTAACAACATCCCTAAGCTCAACCCGTTTTTACAAGCCCAGCCCGAGCCCGGTCCAATTAACTTATGGGCCTAAAAATCCAGGCCCAAACCCGGCCCAACCCGCAAATTATCGGGTTTGGCCCGGCCCATTGCACACCCTACGTGTATATTTGCTTTCATCACCAGCGTAATTGAGGTGATCGAAATAGTAAAAAAAATAATGTATGCATAGAGACCGACGAACAGTACTGCATTCAATTTATTACTCTTCCGACCTCTTGACAATTTGTTATATCATAGAAGGATGTTGACTTACTATCCTTTTATGAATAAAAATTACATGATAAATGTCTTAGATAACATCCTAGCACTTGAATTGATCATCGATGGTTTAAGTAATAGATCGAAGAATTTAACTAAAAATTATATTAGATCCGGTCAATCTGGAAGCGCATACGCCCTTGGGTTGTTTTCAGGATACGGATCTTTGAGTGATTCGAAATTACAACCTGTATATATTTATTCGGTTCCTAGGGTGAGTATGAAATGATGATGAACTTTACGGTGAGATGGCTCATAATTATAGAGTAACATTTTTTTGTCAATAATTATCAAGAGCCAAGATACGGAATTGTTAATGCACCATGCATGTCCTTTATGGCTCGACACGGTCAAAGAAAGTAATTTTACTCGCAAGCAGCAAGAAGAGAAATACCTTAACTCATTTATATCAACTATTTCTCGACGAATCAGTGATCGATTAAAAATTCAACCATCTTTAGATCCTATTCATGTTGACTATATTTATCGCGCGTGCTCATTTGCGGTATCATTTTCTAATAAATATGATACTTGGTGTAGTTTACTCGAGAAAGACGATTTTTTACAATTAGAATACCTCCTTGATTTGGGATACTATTATAGCTATTCCTATGGATATCAACTTAATACCAAATTGGCTTGTCGATTTTTCACTAGCTTTGTAGAATCAGTAGAATCCTATTTAACTGGACGATCACAAGTAAAGAGTACTTTGAAATTTGCGCATGCGGAAACTATAATGTTTTTGGCAACAATGCTGGTAGGTCTAAATTGTCATATTAATGTGTTATCTAGGCTTTTTTTTCTAAATTATGTTTTTTTTTACAGGGATTATATGAAGATAATTATCCTTTAACGGCAGATACTTCGCCACAACAAATCTCATCGCGCAAATTTAGGACTAGCGAATTGGCACCATTTACAGCAAACATTTATTTTGAGATATATAATTGTTCAACTAGGTATGACACTGATCCTACCTTTGGCACGACCCTTATTCAACTTATGGTTAACGAAAAGCCTACAGTGATACCTAAGTGTATTCATATTTATTGCCCATGGAATATATTCAAACAAATATTGAGTGATGCTATTAACTGTGATTTTGATAATATGTGTAAATTGACTTATCCCAAATTTAGTTTATCAATACAACATAATATATATTTTTAATTAAGTTTGTAAATCAATACATATAATATTAGAATTATCTTTTTCACTAGTCATTTTTGGATGATTTTATTACCAAAATGTTCGATGAGATGAGCCTAACAGAATTCCGAGATCGTTAAAGATTTGCCATTTCGGGTTTTCTATGATTTGCTTAGTCAATCATAAAACATCAAACTATAATCACTGTCAAAGGTTTAAAATTTGACCTACATTATGAACAACCAATCAAAATCAAGAATTTTGCTAACAGACGGACATAAGACTATAAATATTCCATAGAACATAAAAATAATTTTTAATTCGGTATGATTTGCTAATTTATCCTAATAATACGTATCATTTGTTAATTGTAGTGCTTGGACCCGGGTATCCGGTTACCCGTTTTACTATACCCGTTTTATAAAAGTTACATTCGGATAACCGTCAGTTTTTATTCTGTAGATATCCGGATAGACCCCACGGATAACCGGGTAACCCTACGGATAATTGGGTAACCTACGGATATCCGGATAAACTGGTTAACCGACGGGTATCATAAGATTGAATAGGTAACATACAGTATATACGTTTATATTTTATAACAAACATTATCGTTAGACACCGGACAGATGCAATCACATAAAATGTGACTAATTTTTACTAAATTTAGGTAATTTATGCTGTACGTATTATGCGGTGAATTTTAAGCGAATAATAAAAGCATATGTATATAATTGTTAAATTTCTTTAAATCCATAATTATCACATTATACAATGATAGATCGAAATTAAAACAATACGAAATATGTATATGGTTCCTCGCACAATTTGAAATTATTATCTCATACGAAAATGCTTTTCAAATCGCATAATCCGGGGTCTCTAATTATCGTTATATACGTTCATATTTTATTGATATATGTGTGCTTATTAGATAAATCTCACATAATTTATTTATACTATTTAGACTAAACAATAGAGATTTTAAAAAATCCTTTATTTTTCGATTTATAATTCGACATAGCAACAATGCTATTTGGATGCGTGATTCTTTGTTAATTTTGAACCCTCAATATGCATGAATTTGATCCTGTTTTATAAACTAATTTTTAAAAAGTTTATTTATAGTAATTACGTATAGGAGCACGTGAATCACTAAAAAATTGATCCCAATTTGATTAATTCAAAGCGAAATAAATTGATAAAATCAATACAACTTTTAATTGAAAAATAATTTCAATCAACATTAAATTTCCACATTTAATACTAAAACTTCTCAATGAAAGTCTTTATGAATAAAATTTCAAGATACAGCAATTATAAGACTGAACCAAGGTCGCTAAAAATTTTTTAGATACTATCAATATTTTTCACTAAGCAATTTAATATTTGAATCTGCTACTGTTTCGGCACAGACATATCTAAAAAAAAAAAAAAAAAGGCTTTGAATGGTATGTATAATCATGCTTGAATTTTATTAAATATAAAAATTCTTATCTGAGTTTACCTTTTGCTTTTGCGTCTGGGAACACACTTCCGAAGATCTGCCAATTATTTTTTAAAAATACTAGGTGCTCGAAAGTGGTAGGTAAAAGGGATGTTCTTTTTACTGTCATTGTATTGCCGGCATCACTAAATAGTCTTTCACTTGCTTTCGAAGTAGCCAGAATAACCAAATACTTTTGGGTCAACTTACTCAATATAGGAAATCTTTTTTGGTTAGTGTGCTACCAAGCTAGTGGACACTGATCCCATGGAATTTCTTGAACACCAAAATAGTTTGAAACTTCTGATCATGAGTCTCTATTGTTAAACATTGAAGCTAATAAAGAATTCGAATTAATTTGTATATTATTATCTTCTTTTATTTCATATAAAACTCGTGATTCTTCATATTTCTCTTTAAGTAATTCAAAAGTTCTGGTTTTTTGAAATTCTGTTATGAAGGAAAGAGGCTTGCATTGAGAATCTAAAAGTGTTGCTAGTGCAACTTCATTGCTAGGTACATTAGTGGTACATCCCAATAATGCAAAATGGCATCATATAGTGCTGACTTTACTTTGTCTTCAAGATTTCTACAATTTTGTGGAGTATTAATATTAACTCGACATTTTGCATCTGATATATCATTTTCATATATTTTATAATCCTCATCTTCATATAAAACTTCATCTTCAAAAGCATCATCAAGAGAATCAAAGTCTATATTCGAGGTTGTAGTAAATGAAAAAGCCTTTGCTTTATTGCCATAATTGCATTGTGCATAAAACCAATAGTAACATATTTGCTACCTCCTAGCAGCTCCGTTGCTTTAGCAAAAGATCTTAGTACTGCAATTAATAATGATATTGTGTTCCATTCATCATTTGTCAAATTAATTTTCTCTAAGCGAGAACCATCCTGTTGAGTCTGCAAATCATTATTCAATGTTAAATTGGTTATCATCATACTGACAATCTTCCAAATTTGTATAAGTCATTTCCAGGCAAGATATGACAAATTCCATCGTGTAGAGACATCAGCGATAATTCATAATTGATAGTCATTATTTTCCAGATCCTGAAAATTAAATAATTATAATAAGATTAGTTTTTTTGATATTTTAATAAATTTATCTAAATTTGTAAATAATTTATACAATGCTAAATATTGTTAATTTATTATATTAAATAATTACAAATTATTATTATTATTTTTTTTGAATTTAAGCAATCCTGCTTCTATTTATTTTATGAACTTACTATATGATTATTACATAAAGTAACTACCGACATAGTATAATGCTCTATTCTAATAGAAACTCACCAAGCATACTAAGTACTGCCCAATGCAACTTGCTAAAACAACTATTAGTCTTACAAAGGGATCCAAAACTCGCTTCAGATTTCGTATCGACAAAGAATACCCCTTGATCATTTGACCAGATGTTGTATTCCCCGTTATGATCTCTTTTTTCCCTTTTAATTCTTTCTTCTTCTTAAGGGGTACGAGACAAAAGAGAGAAATTTTAAACAAACAGTAACGAAAACGACCAGAAAAAAAGAAAAACAGAAAAGAAAAAAAAAATACTGATTGTGAAAAAGAAAAAATATAAAAAGAAATCTAAAACCCTAAAGGCACTATTATAGCCCATGCGTGGCTGATAAAAATTATATAACAAATGCACCATTTGTATATCTCTACTATAAAGCTATGCCTTAACATTAAATTTACTTTCCGACCTTTTCACCAAATCCGGATAGCTCTGTTGCCTGAGGGTTCTCAGATCGAGTCCCGTGAAGTAGCGCCATATTCGTCCGTAAACAAACACGTGGTTGTATTTCACTAATCTGTTCGGATTTGGGAAGTAAACAATGCTGATTTTTTGGAGGGGGTAAGCCAAATCCTCTACTTTTTGCAAAAAATTTTGGAAGGCTGGCAGGAAAGCAGAAGTGAGTAAAAGAGAAGTCACTTGGCCAAGTAAAAGAGTGTGGCTTGAGAATAGCAAGTTCTTCACTGTTTTCCAGTTAATTTACAACAGATTGCTTCGTCGACAGAAGAAAACCACGATCTCCACCAAAATTTCGTATACAAGGGCACACTTCTCTAGCCAGTTATCTTGTATAAAGACACTTTCGGCTTGCATATCGAATATATAAAGGAGTCTCCGTAAAGCAGAAAAGGTTGACCTTTATAAAAACCGCACTGTTGTCTACCCACTACAGGTACTATTTAACGCTCCAGTATCCAAACTTGACTTTTCTTTCGTGAAAAATTTTGGTCCAAGTGATCGTCAGAAAGAGTTGATTATTGATTAGTAAAATTTTTATAATTACAAATTATCAATTCTTCTTTTTTTTTATATGTAATATACAGTATTATCTTATTCTAACTTAAATTTTTCCTTAACTCTAATAAAATTTTAAATTAGATACTTACTATATTTTTAAATTGATACAAATTTTTTTGAGCACTAATTAACCTTTCCATTTGTTTAGGGTAGTAAAAAACAGTATAAGCCTTTTTGTACATGCTATAAGAAGTTCAGCATTCAACAATCCCTTTCCAATAGCAAGCTGAAAGGTGTGGACAGTGCATGGAATTCGAATGATATCTGGTATACATTTTAAAGCCTTAACCATATTGCTTCTGTTATTAGTCGTGATAGTAAAAACTCTATCATTTAGCTCCCATTCATTAATTATAGAATTCAGTGCTTCTGCAATTAACACCCCAGTGTGCAGGTAAGGTAGATATTTAAGTGTAAGAACCATTTTAATTAGTTGAAAATTGTTATTAACAAATAAGTATGTAACTCCAAAATATCCTATACAGTTATGTCTTGTCCACAAATCACAAGTTAAAGAACATGATATAGCATTTATATTAAGAATTTTTTTAAGATTTTCTTTAGAACTTAAAAAAGCATCTGTGAGTAATCTTCGACAGAGTCTTTCACTAAATAACTGGTAATTAGAATCAAACTCTGCTAAAAATTCATTAAAGCCAGTTCCTTCTTGTATATTTATAGGTAATTGATCCTTAATCAACATACTAACAAACTTTTGATCTCAAATTGTTTTTTATTTAGGATTATTTGTTAAGATTCTTTGAAATACTTGATCAATATTTTGTTGTTTTGGATCTTGCTGTAGTTTTTGCTTATGCAATTCTTCTGTATTATATGTCATAATACTAAATATTTAATAAAATTGCCTATTGAACTATCCACTGATCCCATTAAATGGCCACATGGCTGAGACCCATTTACTTCATTAATTTGAACCAAATACCTAACTATTCGTTTATATGGCTCTACAGGTTTATATAGCTGGTAATAACTCCAAATCCAACTTTTTTCAGGTGTCTTGTCAATAGGTACAAGTTGAAGATCTTTAAGATTTGGTTTTAATAATTGATTTATTCTAGATGGTATACTACGATTATATTCATTACTATCTTCAGATAGCATACTATAAGTATTACTATCCTTAGATAGTATGCTATTAGTTACATGATTGTTATCATATTTGTCACAGTTT